CCCTTTATTAAGTCTTAGTCAAAGTACCAGACCAAGCAGGAGAACTCTGTTACATAGTGAATATTCAACAAACACTGACAGGATAATTGGTTAATTATCTGGAGAGAAAAATAAACTTATATCCCTAGCCAAGTATCCACATAAATTCCAGATGGATTAGAGAAGCAAATACAGAATAAAATCATGGTATAAATTAAAAAGGCGTACGGAGGTACTGCACCAATTTTAAATTTGGTAAGAGCTTTCTAAGTATTAACCCAAAGAAGAGTCATGAAAGGAAAATATGGATAAATTTGAGGGCATACAATTTGAACATTTTTATATATACAAATATCTTTGAAAAATTAAATGCCAAGTGAATAGGAGAAAATATTTGTAACAGAAGAAGATTTCCAAAACTAATAAAAAAGACAAATACCCCAATGGAAAATGGGGAAAGACTAGGATAAAACAATTTACATAAAATAATTCAAATGTCTAAAGTGAAAGTATTTAACCTCTCCAGCCATCAGAGAAATTAAGTGAAAACTAGGTCCGATTTACCCCTTACCTCGTGGTCCAGCCTTCTCCCTCTCCCTCCCCTGCTGTAGGCCCAAGGTTTGGGGGCGGGGGGGGGGGGGGGGGGGGGGCCGTCACCTAATAGCTTTACTTCCAGAGTGCCTCCATCTTGGGGGGGACACTTTGACTCTGTTTTGATTCCGGTCCAGACTAAGCCCTGGAATTTTCCTTTTAGAAACGAAAGGTCCGTTAACATATCTTCCTAAACAAATAAGCAGTTTCCCCTGGAGACAAACTTGGCAGCCCCCCCCGCCCCCCCCCCCCCCCCCCCCCCCCCCCACCGGAAAGGCCGCTGAAAGGTAAACCACAGAATGTCAGGTCTGCACCCTGCTGCCGGCCCCCTCCCCCAGGCCGGGCCCCTGCCCACCCCTGCCCCCCCCCACCTCCCCAACCTGCCTGCCCCAAACACCCGCCCCCTGTCTGGGCCTCTGAGGCCCGCAGGGATCCCAGCCTCCCCAGGCTTGCCCAACTCAAGGGCTTCACTCACTGGCCCTTTCTGCTTCTGTCACGAACCATCTCCTGCCCCAGGGCCTTTGCACTTGCTTTGCCCTCTGCCCAGAACACTCTCCCCAGATATTCCCACTGCTGCCTCCTTTATACAAACAGATCTTTTTAAATGTACCGTCCTCAGCTGGGCCCCCCGCCCTGTAGCCAGCCCGGCTGGACGGCGGCCCCTGCACACCCGGTTCATCCCTGTTGGTGCCTGGTCTCTCGCAGGTCTGCACGTTGGTTTCCCTGCCAGGGCATGAGCATCACTGTGACAGGGACCCTGTCTATCGCTAAGGCAGGCACAGAATGGGCAAGAGGAGTCCTGGGGACAGGCTAGAAGGGCATGGCTAATGTGCTCACCACGGTCCCTTCGTCTATGGATGTATGAGTGGCGTCTGGTTTTGCAGACGTTCCGCTGTACTGACAAGTCAGCTCCATCACTGGAAAAGGCAGCACACGTTGTTTTTAAGGGAAAGCCAATGCCAGGAGAACCCACTGAGTTTTCATCTTGTGGACACTTAGCAAAGAAAGGGGCCAGAGGGGGCGGGGCAGGGAGGAGGGCCCGGTGCTGGGCCTGGGCCACACAACAGGGCCTGGCTGGGCTCCTCTTGGTCAAAGGGCCGTAAACACCTCCTGCCCCGGAAGTGTCCTGTTGCCCAGGGCAGGCGGCCAGCACCAGCTCTGCCAGAGCCTCTCAGCTGTGACGTGGCCCGGCCACTCCCAACCATTGCCCAGGAGGCAGGAGCGGGCCCGGGGCAGGGGCAGCAGCGGGTCCACCGGCCCAGAGAGCCCTGCCCCAGGCTGGTGCCGCCACTCCTGCTGCGGCCCCTCCTGGTGGCCGGTGGCCAGCGAGTCCGGACTTGGGGACCCTGCAGGCTGGCCAGCTCTCAGCCTTGTTCCAGCGGGGGCCCTGATCCCTGGGGCTGCCCCCGTGCCTGAGCCGCCACCAGCCTCTCCGGGCACATCCCAGGGGGCTGTCACCCCTCTCCCAGCCCTGAGAATCCAGCCCACAGTCTGGCCGCCCCTCCCGGCCTGGCCCACCCTCAGGCAGCGCTGCCCTGCTTAGCACGACTGTCTCCCTCAAGACGTGGCCTGGAAACGGGCGGCCGCTTGTCGGGCCACCTTGTGCTGCACACACTGTGTCTGTTAGCCAGACCGGGGAAGGGGCTGTGTCCTCCCACACGAAGCCCTGAGGGACCTGCAAGCACAGGGCAGAGGGCAGAGGGCAACCAAGCCTTGGAGCCACACCAGCTCCCTGCCCTCCTCCTGCCTTCCAGCCGGGAGGGCGCCTGGGTTGGACCCACACTTCCTGGAGCCCAAGCTCGCCCCATCTGGGAGGCTGCGACCAGGACCAGAGCACGGCCTGGGCGGCACGTGTGTCTTCTGGGCCGCTGGGAGCCACGGGGATGAGGGTTGTGTAACCACCGCTTGGCTCTCCAGGCAGCGCTTGGGCCTTTTGATTTAATTGCAGGTGTATTTCCAGAAGCAGGATCTGGGGCACTGGGATGAGGGCGGCCGAGGGGAGGGCTGGGATGTGGGGAGGGGGCAGGGCCAGAGTCTCTCCCCACAGGTGCCAACATGCCTCTCCAACCCCGGCCCCCCAGGCCGGCAGGAATGGCCAGAGCACAGGTCAGCTCGGGCCAGGTGCTCTCGGGGTGCGCTGGTGGTGTGGGTGCGCGGCCTGGCCGGGTGACCCCCCATCATCAAAAGCCCCCCTTTCACAGAGCATCCCCTGGGCCCAAAGACAGGAGGCCTGAGCCGCAGACACCCTCCCCTCTGGGCCAGCCTTTTTTCTTCCAGATTGTTCCTTCTTTAGTCAAATGGCCACGAGCTGGGGCGCCTTGGTGACCGTGTGCTCTACATGGCCCCAGGGCCTGGATCTCCAGGCCTCCCCATCGAGTTGTCACCCAGGGTGTCACCTGCCATGTGCCCTGCCCTGTCCCTGCCTGCAAGGAGCAGCCAGCTCAGCGGCTGATTCCACGCGACCTCAGCCAGCGATGGCCAGATGGGGACAGTCTTTCTTTCCACCCACACCCCGGGCTGTCACAGCAGTCCTGCGTCCTCAGGCAGGACTGACCCCTCCTGGCCACTGTGTCCCCAAGTGCAAGAGAGTCTGATCAGATGAGACCAGGCGCTGCCCCAGGCCCTGCCCCCACCTGTCCAGGTGTGCTCAGAGGACCGGGGACTAGCCAGACACATGGGGCACACAGCAGAGCCTGCGGTCTATCTCCAGGACCACCTGGTGTGGGGTGACACGTGGCCTTGACCCGAGAGTGGCGGGTCCGTCAGGAGTCGAGCGTTGCTCCTGCATGCCCAGCCGCCTTCCCTCCCTCCCGCGAGAGGGACCCTCTTTCCTGGGGAACCCACTCCAAGCGGCCCGGATCCCCTCAGCTTTCCCCGTTATGGAGTGGGCAGGTAGCCAGGCCTGGCTCGGGGTGGGGTGAGCCTGGCACTGGGGGAAGCTAGGACAGGCTGTCTCACCGCCCTGGGGCAGATCCTGCCCTGGAGGGGGGCTGAGCCCCCGGAGCCCGTGGGCCTGGAGCGGCAGGGGCTTCCCAGAGAGGAGCCTGGTGCGGCCTGTCCTTCAGCTCACAGCCACGGCTTCCCCCTGCGGTTCAGGCGGGCGCTCGGGGTTGCGCATCGGCACGCCTTGGGCACCGGCGGGGCGGACCTCCGGCGACCGTTTCTGGAAGAATTTGATATTTGTCATTTCCAAAATGCATCCACGTAGTCTGTCCGGGAAAGAGCGGGCCTTTGACCTCCTTCACACGTTTCACGCCGTGTGGGGCTACACGCGGGGTCCCCTAGCCCTTTAGCGCTGGGTCCTGGAGCTCTTGGCTAGATCTTTGTGTGACTCCAAGAGGGACCTGGAGACGAGGCCCAGGCGGGGCCAGCGAGGGTTCTAGTCCGGCTCCCGGCTCATGAAACAGAAAGTGGCCACTCCAGGCCCGGCGGGAGCCGGCAGCCAGGAAGCCACGAGGGCCCTACCACCTCTGACCTGGCCGGTGGGCCCCAGGCCAGGCCGCTGCCCCCACCATCCCGTGATTGATCTGGAGGCACCAGGCTGTGGGCGCCACCTCGCAGGTGAAGGGCTGAGGCTCTGAAAGGTCAGTACGGAGCCCGAGCTCCAGCCCGCGAGCAGCTGAGTCCCCAGCCTGCGTCTCGGCTTCCTCCTCCCGCCTGGCTTGGGTGTGGTTGCTCGGCCTGCAGGGCGTCCTGGAGGCTTCCTAGTCATGGCAGGCGACGCCATGGACTCCAGCCAGAGAAGAAAACCAGCTGCGCTTGCTGGGAGCCAGGCCTGGCACTGCCTTTCCCAGCCTCCGGCCAGCACTGAGCACTGCTCCCAGAGAAGAACGAGCAGCCTCCACGAGGCCTGGTGCCCTGGAGGAGGGGCACCCTCGCCCACCACAAACCACTCCCTGTCCCATCCCAGCCCCCCTGCTCTCTGGGGGAGGCAGCCCCATGAACCCCAGACCCCAGGACCCGCCACAGGCTTCTCTGAAGCAGTGAGGCGCACAGATCTGAGACTCAGGGGCCAGCCTGACCACCAGGGGAGGTGACCACCCCTGGGGCCTCAGTTTCCCTTCATCCCAGCCCAGACCCACACCTGCCCTGGGGTCAGCTTTCACTAAGAGCCTCATCTGCTGGGCCAGCCGGGCCCGCACACCTGCGGGCAGGCAGGCAGGCGGCGCGGAGGCTCAGGGATGCTGGAGAGAACGGGCCTTCCCCGAGCCAAGTGTGAGACTCGGGCTGGCTCGGCCCCTTCTGGAAGCCTGGGCCGGGTCCAGGCTTGGACAGAAGAAGCTGGTTTTCATCGAAGCCGGAAAACATGCGGCTCTGGCCCAGTGAGTGAGGGCGCGGCCCGGTAGCCCTTCCAGGGAGTGTGGGCGGGGCCGGGCGGCCCTTCCAGGGAGTGTGGGCGGGGCCGGGCGGCCCTTCCAGAGAGTGTGGGCGGGGCCGGGCGGCCTTCCAGGGAGTGTGGGCGGGGCCGGGCGGCCTCCACCGCAGGCTCCCGTCGTCCAGCCGGGGGCTGCCAGGCCTGTCCTCTCCGGGTGCTGGCCCTGGGGGCCAGGTGGGCATCCAGCGAGGGTGTCTGCTGGGCTGGCCTCCATCCCACAAGCCTGCGGGGCCTGTGATGGGAGCGTAGGGGCGCTCTGGCTGCTGGCCCCAGACGGGGGTGGGGTGTGGGTTCAGGCAGCCTCGGGGTCAAGGCCCCAGACTGCCTGGTTTGACCCCCGAGACGCTGTCTGAGGCTGGGTGGCCTCCGTGAGTGACTCCGCCCTCAGCCCCACTTACCTATCTGTGATATGGGCCCCAGAGATGCAGGAAGACTGAATGGTGAGGAGGTCAGTGGGGCGGGAAGCTCAGCAGAGGGGGCCCTGCCTCCCTCCTGGGGACAGAGGTGGGCTGGTGACCCTCTGTCAGGACAGCTTCCTCTCCTCTGTGTCAGTCAGGTTTGCAGACAGGGTGAGAGCTCATTTTCTGTCCCGGCTGTACTGGGGGCCGAGGAGGACCATACCCTCAGGGAGAGGAGAGAGAGCCCGAGGACACAAGTCGGGGGAGTGGGGAGGGGTCTCTGTCGGGGGCACAGGGAAGGGAGCCCCTGAGCAGAGTCGGCCTGGGTCTTTGCACTGGCTCTCACCAGCCCCTTGGTGCACAGGCTGAAGGGGTCCACGGCCTGGTTTATAGGAAACAGCAGCCAGAGAGGCAAGTCCTCCCCAAGTCCCTGAATGGCGAGCTGGGCCTGGACCCCAGGCCCCAGGGTGCAGGCATCCTGGGCTCTGTGTCTGGCAGGCCGGTGGAGGTTCCCCGATGCTGGCACAGCCGAGAGGAGCTGAGGGAGTGGCCACCATCAGCAACAACGTCTGAGGAGACAGGATCAGAGGCCCCAGACTCACCATCACAGTGCCGGGAGCTCTGCCCCTGCAGCTGGAGCCCGAACAGACCCCCAGCCCACGTCTCGGGCCTAGTCCCGGCCGCCCCCAGACTCAAGCCTCCACCACATGCGCTGGGCACCTGAGCGCCTACGTCAGCTCTGAGGTGCCCTGCCAGCCCTGGCCCTGCCTGGCCGTCGGCCCACCAGCCTCCCGGCCCTGCCCTGGTCCTGGCTGGCCCCTCTGCCCCGCCTGGCCTGTGTCCACTGCAGCTGTGCCTGCCCCTCCCACCCCTCCCCTTCGAGAGGGGGCCTGGAGCAGCCCCGAGCCACTGTCCCCACTGCGTCCCAGCTGGGGCACTCAGGGCCCAGCCCTGGACCAGCCTGATGCCCCCTGGCCCACTGTCCTTTCCCACAGCCCCCTGCAGGCAGGCTCTTCTCTCCCAGACATTTCTAGAAGCTGCTCAGGTCTGGGGAGAGAATGGGGAGGGGCAGGGGAGGAAGAGAAGGAAGGAAGCATGAGACCAGGTGGCTGGGCCAGAGCAGAAGCTGCAGCCCCGCCGCTGGGGCTGGGAAGGTGGCTCCGTGGGTTCCCAGAGCCCGTGAAGTCCCACCATCCCTCTGACTAATTTAGAAACGATTAATGAGCCAGCTCCCCCTGGAGAAGGGCTGCCATCTGTCCTGGTTTCAAAGGCTGCCTCCTTATTCCTCGAGGAAAAGCTGTGGGTAACCTGATTTACCCTCGGAAGAAGGAGGCGCCCGCAAAGGCAGCGAGCTCGGTAGGGCATGCAGGAGCTGGTGGCAGGGCAGGCTGCTCCAGCGGGGTGCTCACCGGCGCCGCCCCCAGCTGCAGACCCCGTCCCAGGGGAACCCAGCAACGCCGTGAGGATGACAGCTTGCATTCCAGATCTGGAAGGAGCAGACTCACGTCACCGCGGCCGACGCTCCTGGGTGGACCCCAAGCCTCCGCTCCCGGGACCCCCCACGAGGTTCCCTTCCACAGCGGGAGACAGCAACTCTAAGAGGTCTGAAGCGAAAGGCCCACCCCAGCCTGGAGACCTGGCACCGTCAGCCCGGCAGCCGGCACCCCACTCCCCGACCCAGTGCCCCCAGAGCTTCGTCCTCCCTGAGTCCCAGGGACCCATATGCAATGCCAGGGCAGGGCCCGGGAGCCAGCCAGCCAGGTCCCACTCAGGTGGGCAATGCCCAGGCCCCCCATCTATTCATTCATCAGCCTAGTGTCTCAAGCACACGCACGTGAGCATCCAGGCTGGTGCAGGGGACCCGGAGCAGAGCAGTTCACACCCTGGGAGGGGCGGGGCATTGGGGCCGGGGGGAGAGAGAGGCCTGGGGGGCCTTGCAGGGGAAAGGATGGGAGAGGGCTCCAGGGAGGAGGTGAGGACTGAGCTGGGGAGCGCTGGGGTGGGGGGCATAGGAGACACATGTGTTCTTGGAGCAGGAGGGGAAGGGCAGGGGCTTGGCTGGTGCCGGTGAGTGAGGCCCAGAGTCCAGTCCTCGGTGGCCCCCAGGTTCCAAGGGCGTGGGCAGGCCCAGCCCTCTAGGACCGAACAGACCTGCATGCAGGCTGGACAAGTGCCCAGACAGGTTACCTGTGTGACAGTCGCCTGATGCCCACCTGCCTGCAGCTGCCCCAGGTCGGGGGCTCAGCGCGCCCCGGGAATCGCTGTGCTGGCCCTGTCCACTTCTCTGCTCGCCAGCATGGCTGGAACAGGCCCGGAGAGACCCCGCCCCCAACTTGGGCCCTGCTGCAGGCCCACCCTGGCTGCTGTCACCCTGCCTCATGGCCCGCCCCTCCTCCTCCCAGGCCGCTGGGTGGCTGCGGCAGTGTCCTGGGGCAGCTCCACTTTTGGGCGACCCTGAATCCTGATGGCTTTCCTGACCCGCAGAGCAAAGAGGAGTCCCTCACTATCGCTCAAGAGGTATCTGCTGAAGCCTTTGAACTGGCGCCAGACATACACTGGGGCCCAAACCACTGAGCTGAGGCCTCTGTGATGTGGCGCCTTGCCCTCTCCGTGCTGTGCAGCCCTCCCTCCCCAGGAAACGCCCTGCCCCTGTGTGGTGGAGGGGGTGTAGGGGCCCTGGGAGGGGAGGGGACCTGGGAGGAGGAGGGGGTCTGGGAGGAGGAGGGGGTCTGGGGAGTGGAGGGGACCTGGGAGGAGGAGGGCCCTGGGAGGAGGAGGGGCCTGGGGAGTGGAGGGGACCTGGGAGGGGAGGGGGCCTGGAAGGGGAGGGGGCCCCGAGGGTGCCGGAACTCCAGGGTGGGCAGCCCATGCTGATGCCTTGGAAGGAGAGGCAGCAGAGGCAGCTGAGTGGAGTTAGGGTTAGGCTGCAGCCCCTGGAAGACCCAGCTCACCTGACAAGCAGGTTTAGCCCCAAGCCTGTGCTCCCAGCGACTGGTCCCCCCATGGTCAGGCACCCCGGTGGTGCTGGTCACCCCAATGATGGCCTGAGTGCAGCACAGGTTGTCCACTCCAAGCCTCGACTCCAGGCACAGGGCCTGGGGCCCGGAGAAGAGACCACGCGTGGTGGGAAAATAAGGGACCCGGGGCCTGGGTCTCTGTTGCTCACATGGCAGAAGGGCGTCAAGGCTGTAGCTGGAATGAAGGTTGACAGTTGGCTGATTTCAAGATGGGGAGATCGTCCTGCACCATCCAGGTGGGCCCAGCGTAATCTCAAGGGTCCTCACAGGGGAGGAGGGAGGCAGGAGGGCCAGAGGATCAGAGAAGGCAGCTGGCGGCCTGAGGTAGAGGAGGGGCCACGAGCTGAGGGCTGCAGGCACCTCTAGAAGCTGGAAAAGGAGGGGAAATGGATTCTCCCCGGAGCCTCTGGAGGGGAGCAGCCCGGCCCTCACCTGGATTTAGCCCAGGGATACCCACGTCAGACTCTGACCCCAAGACTGTAAGACCATAAGTTTGCATCTTCTAAGCCACTGAACTCTGGCCTTTTGTTATAGCAGCCACAGAAACTCATACACCCTCCTTCTTGGAACGGAGAGTCCTGCCCAAGAACAGAATGTGGCTTGTGCACACGCACACACATATGCAAATACACACTCACATGCACGCACACACACACACACACACACGGGAAGACCAGGCCCAGCACCGCCCGTGGTCACCACACGTTTGTGGTCAGCCCCAGGTTGTCATGTGGACAGTAAGTCCGTGTGTGGCTGCAGCTCCAGGGAGCAGAACCGCGGGGTGAGATGCAGCGCCCCGCTCGCCCTGGGCGCCCCAGCCCCTAATCCCCGTCCTTCTGGCCTTCATGCTGGTCACGAACAGCAGACGGTCAGCCTGGGAGACACTTGGAGCCCCCGTGGCTTTACAGGAGGGGCCTGTCTGGGGTCACAGTTGCTTGGGGAGCACTACGGGGGGCAGAGGTAACAGGGTGACCATCCCCACGGCCCCTCCTGTGCTGCCCGCCCTGTGGTCAAGCCCTCTGAGGTCAGAGCTGGGAGCCCAGTCACGTGAGGTCAGGGAGGACAAGCCCCGCGCTGTCTGACACGGACTGCAGCCCTCAGACCCGCAGCTGTGGGTCCAGACTCGACGGCGGGGGTGGGGGGGGGCAGGCAGGGAGCGGCATGGCGATGGCAGAGACGAAGACAATGGCGGCTCCCACACCGCCGGCACGCTGTCACCGCAGCGTCCTCGTCCTCGTGGAGAGAGCTGGCAGGGGCCTAAGCGCTCAGCGACGGGGCGAGTGAAACAGGGTGCAGCTTGAGTGACGTGGGGAGACAAGCAGGAAAGCTGCCCTCTTAGGAGAGCGTCTGGGAGGAGAGACCCTCTGGGTCGGACACTCATTTTCCTCTTTAAGCTGCCACGTGTCCTGCAGCAGCCCCTGCGGCATTGTAGCCAGAGTGTTTGGAGCAAAGATCGAGCTGTGAGCATTGTGAGGAGGGGGTGGTCACGATGGAGCTCATGGGGTCGCAGTGGGGCGCGGAGTGAGGTGTGCGGGGCGCCCTCTGCCGGCGGTGGCGAGCGCTGCAGCGGGTGGGCAGGACCGGGCCCCTCCTCTCGGGCTGCACCCCTGACCCCCTGCAGCAGCCTGGGGGCAGGGTCTGGCTACCCCACCCAGGCCGCCTTCTCCAGCTGTCGCAGGGTGCCACCAGCCCTGCTGGGGACTCGCTGTCACTGTCACAGGAGGGTTGGGGCCGGCTGGGCCTTCCCCAGGGGTTCTCTCAGCAGGGACACCGTCAGCTGCTCCCTCGGGAACATGCCCTGGCCGCTGCTCTTTCCCCACCCGTGCCCCAGCGCCAGCCAGCATTGGGGCGCAGTTCCCGGGAAATGGGCAGGACTGGACCCACCGCGCTGACTCTGTCCGGTGGGCAGTGGGCGGCCCCTGGACTGAGGTCAAGGTGGCCGCCACGCTCGGGGTGAACGGAGCCGGTCTTTGTACTGTGTGGGTTCGAGGAGGTTTTAGCTCTTCTAATAATAGATGGGCCACCAGGGCCCCCCGGGACTGGGCTCGTGTCCTCGTCTGGAAGGCCTCCCTCCCCCTGCTGTGGTGCCGTAATTGCAGGAGTCATATTTTTAGGTCACACTTGACGTCTGAATGTGACTCACCCCGAAGACCCTGTCATCGGCGGCTCACTGGGCTCCAGCCCAGGGTTGAAAATGACTACCTTCGGCCCGGCGGTTGATTCTGTCCACATCAAGGCCTCCTGCTGGACACCCGGGAGCAGGGAGGCTGGGGTGGGAGCCCAGCCAGGGTTCTGCCCCTCGGTGCGCTCGTACTCAGGGGCCGGGTCTCATCCAAGCCTGCCTGTCTGCATGTGTCAGCGCTGGGGCAGGCCCAAGACACCCTTCCACAAGAGAGTAAGCTCTGCACAGGGATGGAGAGACGAGGGGCCCTCAGGCAGGCCTGTCCCCCAGTTCTACCCGAGCCCTGCGGGACCTGCCCCAGACTCTCTGGAGGTGCAGCCTGGACCCTGGGCACCGGCAGCCCTCACCATCCCAGACACGCCTTTGGGGCCATCGTCTTCATCAGCAGGACGGCACGTCTCCCGGAGCCTCTGCCCGGCAGGAAGCTCGGTTGTTGGTGACAGGGACTTCCAGAGACCATCAGTGCCTCAGCTCCTGCGAATCTCTCCCTCCGAGCCCTCACCTTGTCCTGTCCGCCACACTGAGGCACCCAGATCCTTCCCCAGCCCTGATCAAGCCCCTGCCCCTGCATTGAAAGAACCGCCTCTAACCAAACCCCCAGGTCTCGGTCAATTCCGACCTGCACCCCTCTGTCCAGCCCTGCGGGCCCCACTCCTCCCCAACAGGCCCTCGACATCCCACCACTCGTGGTCAGGGTGTTTGGGGACCAAGGGCTCGGCCTACCTGGCCCAAGGACCATTCCAGTGGGAGACACCCGTCCTGCCCAGGATCAGCTGGGATTCAGTGCAGAAACGGGCAGGAAGTCACAGTCTATCCGAGGTTACTGTGAGTATTGCAAATGTACTGGTGCACATTTGGTCTTTTCTGTGACGTGTCAGAGAACGTGGGCCGAACGCCAGCTTCCTCGCGTCTGCAAAGTGCATAACAGACAAATCCTCCCAGATAGATGCTGACGATGCTGCAAGAATACTAAGTGAGGCTAAAGTTCAGTGTTCACACTTGTAATTTAGACCGAAAAATTGTTTCAGTGGAAAATTCTGCATTGTGTAGAGGGCGTCTGATCTGACTTTCAGTCATCTCAGCTCCACCAAGGGGGTAGATGCGAAATTCCATCTCCCCTCCCCGACCCCCGCGCAGAAACCAGGTTTTCCTCTGTTGGTTTCAACATCAGTGACCTTTCAGTACGTCTGTCCTGCAGCTTGTCTCTGGAGTTGCTTAGAACATCTGCCTGGTTCTCCCTTGATTAATAAGTAAATAACATCTTTCACGTGAGCTCATTTTTATATCTGTGAGTCACAATCTTACCTTTTACTGAAAATTATTTTTTAACAAATGTATTAGGTTTCTAGACGTCATACATCAGTTACCAAAGTTGTGTTTGTTAATCCACACGACGAACTACTTAAGGAACAAAATATATTAAACCAATAAATGCAGTTTAAAATGTTGGAAGTTTGTAAGTGGGAACAGTTATTCAAAGACCCTGTGACAGTTTTTAGACTTATAAATAGACGTGGAGTATGGACTTCAAAAGAGTGGAAAGCCTATTGGGAATTCCCCTGTGGTCCGGTGGTTAGGACTCCCGTGCTCTTAATACCGAGAGGGCCTGGGTTCGATCCTTGGTCGGGGAACTAAGATTCTGACAGCCACGGTAAGGCCAAAAAACCCCCAAAATCCATCTATAAGAGTGGAAGTCTAGGTTTGAAGAGCAGCGGGGCTGAGCCCCCCGCCTGCTGTCCTGGCCCCCAGTCTTCTGCCGGCCCGCCCTGATCCTTGCCCGAGCCTCCTCCACCTGAAGGGCTTCTACTTCAACTCTGCATGCTCAGACCCAGAAGAAAAGACCTTTCCCTTGAAATCAACCTATTGTGCGCTTCCTCCCTTGCCTTGATTTAGCAAATGTTTGTTAGGTAAGTGGACGCTATTCAGTTTTTAAACCCTTCCTTTAGGCGGGAGTAACTGTGTCTGCATCTGCCGGCTTTGTAAGCCCTGCCTGGGCCCCTCGCCCCTCCCCGACTGACCGCACCCACCGCAGCAGCTGCGGCCACTCCGGCCAGGATGCTGAGAAGCGTCGGCAGGTGGCATCGCCGTCCCGTGATGATGCTTCACTGCGGACTTAAAGGCACACCGCCAGGGGGCACGAGTCGCGTTCCGGGCACGCCCCCCCCCCCGCCCCGCCCCCGCCGCCCAACCTGAGACCATGCCCTGGAAGTCCCCGGCGGGGCTGGAGGCCGGTCTGGCTTGAATTGTCCCCAAAGGGGCCCAGTGAGACAGCAGGGAGTCACATGGCTGTGCGGTTTGCAGGGGCTTCACACGTCTGGAGTTCCGCACACCTGGGGCTCTGAAGGGGGAAACGGAGACAGGAGGCCGTTGGTCCTTACCTGGCCCAGGTTCGGCTGCCTGAAGTGTCCAAGCGGAGCCCGGCACTCCAGCCTTCCCCTCCTCCCCAGGATCCCTCTGGCCCTGAGCCCCAGGTGGGCCGTGAGCTCTGGGGGCCCAGTCCTAGGGGTGCTGGAAAAGCTGAGGCCCCACAGGGCTGGAGCCAGCTCCCTACGGATGGAGGGTCAGCCCTCTGTCCTGAAAGCCAGGCCCAATGAGGCCAGGGAGCTAGTAGAGGGCCCGCTGGGGAAGGTGAGGGACGCGGGCCGGCCTGGGGCAGCCTGGGTGCCTGAGAGGGCTACGTGCTTGGCGACGGCCATGTCTTCTGCAGTGCGGCCAGAAGAGGGCCCCCATGCCCCTCCATGGCGGTGCGGACCCCCCAGAGAGACTGCAGGGCCAGCCTGCTGGGTGCCCAGCTGACAGCACAGGGCCCCAGGCTGGGCTGGCCAATCCTGGGAGCCTCCCTCCGGGACTGGAGGCCAGTTGGCACTTTTGGCTGTGCTCTGATGGGTGACCAGGAGGCTCTGGTGGCCACTCTGAGCACCCCTCCCCTCCCCCTCTCCCGCCAGGTACAGCACGTGTCTGTGCCAGGAGGGTCTGGGGGCCTGCAGCCTCCTCCCCGCTGCCCCCCACATGGGGCTCACGGTTTTCCGTCAATGGCTGCAGCTCACCATGCCCCCCAGGCCTTGACCCCGCAGTCCATGGGGTCCCTTCACCCCAAGCACACCCGGGGCGAGGTCGGCCCCCCATTCTCCCAAGGTGGGCCCTCCTCCCTCCCCTCCTCTCC